AAAAAAAAAAAAAAAAAAAAAAAAAAAAAAATCTCAGCTTATTAAGCTGGGGAAAACAGAAGTACATCAAAACATATTTCCACAGGCCTCACAAAATATCAAGGTTTAAAAATAAATTCACTGACAACCGTACGTTAGAATAATTCAGTTTCTAAAACTTCAACAATCATTTCAAGATAGATATAGTTTATAATAATAATATTTCCTACATAACGCATTCCATTCTAAGAGATTTTAATGCACTCAATACAATTAAAATATTAAACTTCTAAAAAATTATGTCCCTGTAATACAGCACTCAAATGGTACATTTATTTATCTAATATTAGTTTATAATCTATAAAGTGATCAACAGACGTCACAACATATAAAAATTATAAAAGTGAAATTAATCGACACTTTCTATAGAAGTATATAACAGCTTCATTTTTCCCTATATTCTTTATGGTGGTTCGTTTCATAACTTTGGGCAGTTTACGGTTATATAGGCCTATATACGCACGTGACAATGAGACACAAAAGATCACTTTTAGCGGGAAATCAATCATATGCTATTTTTACCACATAAAATTAATCGGTGAATCAGAATCCAAACATTGCTTCACAAAGCACTTATCACAAAGCACTCAGGCTCTTAGCATGAAAAAGACCTATATAAAGCTTCTTTTTCCATTTTCAGTCGTATTTCCCAATGTCATGGCAAAATTTATACTTAAAAATAAGTAATTTACAAATTGATAATAGCACAAAACTATTTTTATCTTAAAGTAGTAAACAAATAAATGATTTGAATTAATAATTTTGCATATAGTTGGAATTAGATGATAGTAGGCCTAATGCTGAGACTGTCTGTGCGCTGTTTAAAGACTTGGAATGTCTGGGGTGGCTGGAATGTCTTCACTTTTTCGTGTAGAATTTTTAAACTTAATACACATTATCTAATTCAAAAGTTTCTCTCAAAGATTTCTTCATTTTCTGGGACTGATGCTGTAAGAATGCATTTCGTCTGTCCAAGTATGGTTGTCCACTTTTATTCATTATCCAGTCCTGAATCTCGATTTCGGCATCGACGCGTGCTTCCTGTAGATGGCGCCTAAGTTCAAAACGAAGTTGTTCTTCCAAAAGATGGGGACGAATCCCTCTAACTAACCAACTGCAAAGCAGCAAATTCGTTTCAAATTCGTCCAAAATTTCAAAAGCTTGGATTTCGTTCAACGCTTGCCATTCTTGCACGAAAATTCCCTTACTTATTTCTAAGTTTTCCCTTCGGCTTTCCTCTGGCGTTTGAATCTTTGTGATTTTCTTAAGCCATTCCGGTACTGAGCTGATACCTGCTTGGACATTCTGCTCGCCGTCATTCTCAGTCGCTGCAGTTTCGGGAATTTCTTGGACGGGTGCCGTTTCTTCTTCCTCTTCGCCTGTCTCTTGCCCATGATTTTCAGCATGGGACCATTGGATACTAGTGCCAGGAGGCACCTGCTCGTTTACATCATGGGTGTCAGGATAATTTATGGATTCTGGTTGGTGTTCTTCAAGCACATCTGATGAATTTATGACATCGTTATCATGGGACCCTTGTGGTCCTTGTGGTTCGCATATTCTTTGACCATTTCCCTGCATCCCCTGTCCCTCCAATATTTCCGTCTGTGATCTGGGGGTCTCCGTTTCCGTCTTCTTGATCTGCGTCAGACATGCGTCTTTTGTGCCTTCAGAAACGTCGAGATTTGCAAATGTGTTTACAAAATGTCTGTCCAGCAATCCCTTGCCTGTCATACGATTGTCAAAGTTTCCTTTAGCACTCAAGACTGGTCTCAGCTCTGATAATGGTACTAGCATGCTTCTTCCACCAATTGCGATAGATGTGCCCACAACATGACACATCACCTGACCAGAAATGACGGCATTTTTCATAAACTTTGAAATGTGTTTCTTGTGCCGTTTACCTTTTCTGCATTCAAATCTTAAAACTCTTTCAGTGTATTCAAGATAGAAATATTGCAAGTTCATTCGAACATTTAACATTTCGAGATAAACTGACAGTCTTCCGAATTTCACTTCGCGCATAGTTTTAATTCGAACCCGTCTAAACTTGGTACATGTAGGTTTTGTTTTCTCAGAGTCCGTGTTTACGAGGTCTCTTTTATAACGGCCCATGTTATTCCTTGGATGTAAATGTATGCCAGGTGACCTGTAAAATACATGTACATTTCAAGATTGGTTTAATATGTAAGTACAGGGCACATTAAAATGCAATGCATTGCATTCATCAGTGTCAGATTTCGGCTAATTTTAGGCAATTATTTCATCGTAATAAGGTCATAAAGGCAACTAAGTATATGAAAAAAGAAATCTGGCACATAGAAATTTCAAGACTGATTTTTATCGTCACCAAAGATGTGGAATGGTAGGTGTCAAACTCATGAATGATATGTAATTATATTTCATGCTTCAGTAACCGTGTATTTTTGTTTACCTAGACCCCGATTCCAAATACACAGCCTAGGACTGGGTCCCCATGCCTAGATCGATCCATCTGGATCGGTCTTACTCCCTGGGGAGTTTCACTAAATTGATATCAACTTAACCGTCTTAAACGTCTGTCACGCCTACCGAATCAGCTAGGGGGGAATTAATTACCCTCTAATACTGTAGCTTTAATATGCGTGACAGACATTTAAGCTCGTCAAGTTGATCACAATTAAGTGAGACTTTCCAAGGAGATAGATCGAGCCAAATATCTGTGGGAATCGTCCCTAGCTGTATCAAAGTGCAAACCATTCAAAGGCATGTCCCAAAGTCATGCGTAATGTTTAACTAACCTACAAAGCTGTTTTATCCTCCTCAGACCTTAAAACAACACAACCCCCTCAGCTCAAAGTTTAGGTTCTAGTTTAAGCGTACCTGGGGGGGGGGGGGGGGGGAGTAGGTGTGGGACAACAATATTCTGCTCTTAATGTAACAAACACGGAAGACTAACACAAACGTAAAACTTCCTTGATGAACTTGTTTAGTTAAGATATCCTCCACAAGGGCCAGTTAGATCAGACACATTCAGTCAACAAAAAAAAAATGGTTATTGGTTTCGTAATTTATAATTGTTGTTGTTTTCTTGCTCTAAAATACTCCATTTTTGAAACTAACATTTTCATCCCATAAAATAATACATAAACACCGACCCACCCTTAATGTAACTGCTATGCTTGTTAGATATAAAATGTTAAAAAATTCAAATACCCACCCTGTTTACAGAGAGTTGATACTCTGTCATCAACACAAATGTACCGCATTCATGTTTATGATCACTATGGGCCCATTTATATGTGGGCCGCTATAAATGGGATCTAATTCAGTTTGATCCAAATTCGGGGAGACAGTCTCAAAATTCAACAACTCAAAATTCAACATCCACCATTAGTGATTAAACTCAAGACACACATAGGCACATGTTCAAGCACACACAAAAAATAGAACAAAGAGAGAGAGAGAGAGAGAGAGGGGGAGAGAGAGAGAATGAGAAATTGGGAGAGAAAGAATGAGAGATACTTTCTGTACCTACCTGTGTGAGACTTTGAAGTATTAATTTTTGTCAGATAAGGTGGACACGCATTTTACCCGTAGTCTAGTGTACTTCACTCAGCTGTATTGACAAAACTGGTCACATGACCTTGATTAAGCGCCAATGCAACCAATTGATTTAATAGGGGCTTTTTTTTCATCAAGCTTACAGGTGAAAATGACGTGATAAGAAAAAAATTTGGAAGTTTTAAAATAGTTTCGAAACATTTTAGCACTTTAAATTATATGACCTGAATACCGTTAACCATTTCCCAAAGGTAAAAAATATCAGTGTTAAAATTTTAAGTCACTGTGAGTGAGCACGTGATAATAAGGCTAAAGTAACTCGGTCCTACGTTACGAAAACGTTTAGATGATTTGCCAGTTGTGTTAAATGGCGGATTGATGAACGAAGGTGAGCAATTTTTACTTCTTTTTGTCAAGGAAATTGCAAGCAGTTTTGATTAAAATTACATTCTATTTTTATCTATACACTAAACACCCATTTATAACTACTTATGTGGCTTTTAACAGCTTTATGTATTAGAAATACTTGCATCAAAAGCAGCAGAAACACCTGCATCAAAATTACCTGTCGTTCTATTTGTTTCAATTAAAACAAATACAGCTAGATTTTTCAGTGATGGTCCATAAACTACAGCGGTATATGATAAGGAAAAAAATGATTTAATAAACTTATAAATGTTGGCGACTTCTTGTGTCTGTTGAGATGCATTATCAAAGTTAATTCTCTAGTTTCAGCTGCGTTTTGAGATACGTGAATGAAAACCTAAAATGGCGGCGATGACCTTAAGGATGGGAGATTTGATTCAGCATGGTACTATGGAATGCTTTTAAAATCTTTACGTAACGTTTGTTCATGTTCATGGACCCCATTTTTCTACAATCTAGTGTCATTTTATATTTAACGTGCAAATCAAAAGGGATTAATTTTAGTCAAATGATATGGGTCTTTCTTTTGTTTCTTTATTTGCAAATGTCGGCGGGATTTTCCAGAAAAAAGTCCCATTGAACTTAATTCCCTTTTCTTATCTCTTATTTCTTATTACCATCCAGTATCAATCATTCAATTGTTTTTAAGTCGATATAATTTTCATTGTGGTTGAAACAATAAGTTTTTCAATCCCACAAATTATTTTTCCAAATCTCTTTGATAATTTCACATTAAATCAAATTGTTTTTGTACACATTTTTCTCAGAGCCAAATATGTTTTATTTTGTATGATCATCACATATTTCACGAAAATGATAAGGCACATTTTATTATCATTCAGTCCAAGGACATGCAGACGTTACAGACATTCGTCGGAGGCTGTTACTGTACTTTCGTAAACGTAATGGCGGACCAAAGGAGGGACTGCTTGAGATAAACCGAATAAAACTTGGTGACGGCTCCTTACTGTGTATTACTATTACAGTTAAGTGGACAGCCGAACTGCGTGCCTTGATCGAACAATTCGTGTGTGTCCGTGAGACTGTAAATGGATTGTCAAGAGAGTACGTTTATATGGAACTTGATAATATAGAACTTAGAAGATTCAAAGAGGTGAGAGAAGAACTAGTGCAGGGTGGATATGTATATGACGGCGGAACAGTGGCAGTACCAGATGTAAGATATAAAGACCTTGACAACGGAAACGTATATCAGTATACCACCGTGGGGTAAGTGAGAATAAATTGTTTTGAGCTAGCAAACCCTCTCACTTGATTTTCTGAAGAAAATGTTATTTTTACTGTCAATATTATGAACCCTTTTTTCATTTGCTTTTTCAATATTTTTTCATCTCAAAATATTTTGTATTTCAAACTCATAGCAGTGAAACCTTTTACTTCTGGTCTTTGATTTATCTATACATTTACTTATTGTTAAGTTCAATTGTTTACTTATTTATTTATCTTCCATTCATTCATTAATTTTTTTCAGGCTGGACATAAATATGGTAACCGTTCTTCATAATAGATTGTTAATGATGTATTGTGGAAACCTTCCACAATTATTTCCTGGGAGAGTTGTGTAAGTATGCTGCATTGAACATAAAACGGTTTCCCAGCAAAATGTTGAAATTGTTTATGACATCTGTTAGTAATTTAAATTCGTGTTTACAAGTTAATGATTTTTTCCATTAGTCAAATAATTTTTAAAAAGTTGCTAATGAGTCGTTTTCTGTATATTATAAACATATCAAAACAATAGCAGGAACCAAATTCCACTTGCTTTATAGTCATCGAAAATAAGGTGGCAGTAACAAATGTCGTGATGAAGCAAGTACACTTCAATACACAAATCTTCTTTCCTCATTATTTCGTTTTCATTTTTTATTCAGAAAATATTGTGGCAGTTTTCACGCTGTTGTTGCTACCACTCGGGAGAAACTTATCCTTCACGTCTTGGAGGAGGGGGTCGAGTTCCAGGCTATCAACCTCCGCCAAGTTCGAATGGTAAGCCTTTTGCAAGCGAGTAACCAGTAACCTTGTCAATAAAAACTCAGCGATGTATTGTGAACAGATATTGAATGAAGTAGCACTGTAAAACATTGTCAGTTACTGACGTGGCCCGTTCTTTTTTGAGGCGTTCTAAAATCTAAAGTAGTGGAGAGACAGGCAATTGAGATACAGAAACTGTTGTGATACCACTGGTGCAGAATAATGCTTAGACACGTGCCAATCCCCCAGGTCCCTCCACCAAGGAAAACTATCAATGTTAAATAGAAAATATAGAAATTAAAGGGATGACAACTCTTCGAATGAGATTCACATTTCACAACAAACACTTCGCAAACAACTCAAAGAAATATAATAAATTCTATTTTACCACCAAAACAGCGGTTATCGCAATTATTCTGAAATCTGTGCTTACCATCGGACCGCATGACCTCTATGAATGTTGACCCTCTGTAATAATCTGTAGCCATCTATGGAGATTATTAAAGAACAAACTTAAAAAACAAGGACTTTATTTGAATGTCGGAAAGGATTCGTTAACCATTGGTTAGTATGATAAAATTGTCTCTTTCCCCAGGAAAATTGATTTGGAAATGAACAGTTGTTATCCCTATAGAGAAATCCGTATGCCCTACGCACTCAATGCCAGTGTTTCAAAAATGGTATAGAAAGGCCTAAGTGTTACGTAATTTATCTTTTACAGGAAGAAGTTGAAGAGTTGGGTGAAATGGCATTAGATCAGCAGCAGAGAGAAGAGGTACTAAAATTGATGAAGGGTTTAACGGCTGACACTCTTGACCCCCAATATGCTCAGCCAATTCAAGTTTCAGAGTAATAATAATAATAATAATAATAATAATAATAATAATAAATAATCAAATAGTAGTTGTTGTAGTATTTTTGTAGTAACACTACTACCGCTAATAATAATAATGATAATAATTATAATTCTTAAGTTCGATGGTTGTATAAAGTTACATAGCAAAGTTGATCTTACTTAGTTGGCTAACCAATGTCAGCAGTCTACGCCAAGACCCTCAGAAATTAATTTTAATTAAAAAGGGCATTTTAGGTATATTACCACATGATATGAGCAAACTCTAATTAATCAGTCTTTAACAAGTTTGTTGAAAGAACCTATAAAACATTATATAAGAAGTTGTTAGGCAATTTTATAGGTAGGTTGGCTGCAGTATTGTGCCATCATTTAATCTGGACAACACCGATGGATATTTTGTCAGCACCTACCCACTCAAAATCAGGAAAACATATTGTCTCGCAGCTTTCGGTAAGATCAAGCGAGATTTCAGGGGATTTGGGAAAAGTTGAACTTTGTTGTTGTCATGAATGTGCAGGGGCGGGACCAGGATGATTTGAAGGGGGTTCACGGATGCGAAGCAGAGAACGCCCCCCCTTCCCCTTGGCGTCAGGTTCAGTGAAGGGCTCCAAAAATTTCTAATACTGTCAGAATTCTGATTCTGTAAAAAATTCTGTCAAAATTCTGATTTCAAGGGGAGCCCATTGGCGTGTTTTTTTCTGAAATCGAAGGGGGGGGGATCAGGACCCTCCTGACATCTCCCTAAATCCGCCACTGATTGTATATAAACTTTATAGACATGTGCTTTTCAAAAAAAAAAAAAAAAAAAAAAAAGGGGGGGGGGGGGGGGGGGAAAAAAAAAAAAAAAAATTTT